AAGAGGGCGGAGAGTGCGGCGGTACGAGAAGGGTAGAGCGTGGAGAGTGCAGCGGTGCGAGCGGGGAAGAGTGTGGAGAGCGCGATGGTGCGAGCGGGAGAAAAAGGTCGTCCATGGCGAGGAGTGCGGCAGGAGCGAGGGAGTCCGACGGTGGTGGTAACACCGGCGGTGCCCCTCCCATGCTGCTGCTGCTGGTGATGGTGGTGGTAGTGCCGTGGCTGTTGTGGGGAGAGTGCGGCAGTGAGAGAAGGGTAGAGTGTGGAGAGTGCAGCGGCGCGAGCAGGGAAGAGTGCGGAGAGTGCGGCGGTGCGAGCGGGAAAAGAAGATCGTCCATAGTGAAGAGTGGGGCGGTAGCGAGAGAGTCCGACGGTGTCCCTTCCGTGCGACGTCGTTCAGGTTGCGATGTTGTTCAGGTAGAGCCGTGCGACGTCGTTCAGGTAGAGCCGTGCGACGTCGTTCAGGTAGAGCGGTGCGGCGTCGTTCAAGAACTGGCAATACTAGAGGCCAGCGGTTGAGCCTGCGAGCGGGCCTTTACCGGCGGTGAAATGGGCAGCGGACGATATGACGCTAGGAGAGCCTCTCGTCTGAGCCGTCACAATGTGGCACTAGGAGTCTGCACAACTGGCATGAAAGGAGCTGAGATGAAACGACTTCGTTTCGGAAATGAGATGAAAGGCGGATGCGAATCTGGTACTAAGAACGAGACATTCTTCGAGAAATACTGCAACACTTTCTGGGAAGGATTGGAAGGGCACTCTTCCGCTCCGCCGCGTTTGTTGCGATCGCGGCGCCATCCCACCCGTAGGGTGAGTCGTGCGCCAATCGTGGCGTCCCCAGGCGGCAGACACGGGGCGCTCCGCCTCACATGATTGGGGCCACCACACCACGAGCGTTTCCACTCGGACTTTCCTGTCCTGCGCTTGCACTCTGACAGAGGTGGTGAGTTCTCCTCCGACCTCTTGGCAGCCTACTGTGCTGAGCACGGCATTGAGTAGTCGTTCACGCTTCCGGCCTCTCCACAGCAGAATGGGATTGCAGAGCGCCGCATTGGCCTGGTCATGGAGGTCGCCCGTACCACCTTGATCCATGCGGCTGCCCCCCATTTTCTGTGGCCGTTTGCGGTCTGGTACGCTGCGCATCAGCTCAACCTCTGGCCCCGTGTCTCCTTGCCGGAGACCTCGCCCACACTGCTGTGGATGGGGGAGGTTGGCGATGCGTCGCGTTTCCGGGTCTGGGGATCTCGAGCTTTTGTCCGCGATACGTCTGCGGACAAGCTCTACTCCCGTGCCGTTCCCTGCATCTTCCTCGGCTTTGTCCCGGACGCGCCTGGTTGGCAGTTTTACCACGCCACCTCGCGCCGAGTCTTGCCCTCGCAGGACGTCACTTTTGACGAGTCCGTCCCCTACTACCGCCTCTTCCCCTACTGCACTGCCCCGCTCCCCCCCCCGCCTCTCTTCCTCGCGCCAGGTGCTACTGTCGTAGACCCCCTCCCCCCTCAGGGTGCCGCTCCCTCAGGTTTGTCTCAGGTAGACCCGGTTGAGCCTTTTGAGGTAGCTGTCGACTCTCGTCCTGCTGTGGGTGCGGAGCCTGGGGGTGCTGAGCCTGGGGGTGCGGAGCCTGGGGGTGCGGAGCCTGGGGGTGCGGAGCCTGGGGGTGCTGAGCCTTGGGGTGCGGAGCCTGGGGGTGCTGAGCCTGGGAGTACTGAGCCTGGGGGTGCTGAGCCCCAGAGTCCGGAGTCTGGGGGTTCTGAGTCTGGAGGTCCTGAGCCTGAGGGTCCTACACCTGGCGGAGCCCTCTCCTCGGAGCAGCTACGTGAGTGGTAATTCCAGTACTGCAGCCTCAGGAGAGGTACCTCTGGAGCCGGGCGTACTACTGGGACTGGTGCTAGTGCTTCTCCTCCTAGCCGGGAGCTCCCCTCCCGTGAGCGGATCCGTGAGTGGTACGAGCGGCGCTGCACTCTTCAGAGTGGCGTGCCTGGTGTCGCGGACCCCGCTGCTGCTGGTGGTGCTACTGGTGCTCGAGACTCTACTGGTGCTGGAGACTCTATTGGTGCTGCTGGTGCTGCGGCCCCAGAGGTTGGAGCTGTTTCTGGTGGTGCGGACCTGGGCGTTGGAGCTACGGCTGGTGCTGCGGACGCGGGCGCTGGTGCTGCTGCTGGTGCTGAGGACCCGGGCGTTGGAGCTGCTGCTGGTACTGAGGACCCGGGCGTTGGAGCTGCTGCTGGTGCTGAGGACCCTGGAGCTGGTGCTGCTGCTGGTGCTGTGGAGTCGGGCGTTGGAGCTGCTGCTGGTGCGAAGGACCCTGGCGCTGGTGTCTCTGCTGGTTCTAGAGTCGCTGCACGGCAGCGGCGGTACTTCGTTCCGCTCCTTCTGCAGGTTCTTGGTCTCCCGCCTTCTCTCGGTCCTCCTCCTCCCTTAGAGTGTCCACAGCCTGTCCAGTCACGGTTACAGTTACAGCCCGCCTCCCCACTGCCTGCTCCTTCTCCCTACACTGGTCCTACTGGAGGTCTTGCTGAGCGTCGTGAGCCTGCGTCTCGCCCTGCGTCGCCTGTCCGTACTGCTCGCACTAGTGGTTGCGGTTCGCGTCAGCGTCCTCCTCCTGTCCCTGGCACGCACCGGATGTCTCTGCGTCCGTCCACTGCTCCTCTGCGTGCCCCTTTGCCTTCTCCTCCTGAGTCCTCTCTTCCTGCTCTTGCCGACCCGGAGTCGGACTCTCTTCGTGCTGCCAGTCCTACTGTCACGCGTCTCCTTTCTACTGTCGTCACTAACCCTTCTTTTGAGTCCACTGCTGCGTCTGCCCTAGTTGCTGAGCTCGTCGACTTTGCTGCTCGCTGTCGTCTAGACTACGCTGCTAGTCTTGTTGCTGAGTCTGAGTCTGTCTGTCCTCCGTCCGTCGGGGGTGAGTGTGCCCTTGGCACGGACGTCCTTGAGGACAGGCAGGAGGAGTTCCAGTGCTTTGCTGCTGCTTCACCTCATATCGTGTCCATGCTGCTGGCCCCTGAGGGAGACCCGGATGCACCAGACATCCCGAAATGTGCTTCTGCCCAAAGTGCTGCTTCAGAAATTTTCCCGTGGGCTCGTAGTATGGCGCGAGTGGAGCGCGAGTGAGGACCAAGACCGGTGATGACAACCGTGACGAAGGCGTCCTCTGAAATCGATCCTCCACATCGAAGAAGCTTGTCGCGCAGCTCGCAGCAGCGACTGATATACGCAATTCCCTTCTCGCCTCGTTTCATTTCGATTGTTGTCAGCTGCGCCATTAACCGACTTTGGTTTACGCTGTCTGCTGCTTGATACAGGCTCTTCAAGTGATTGTACGCGAGCTCCGCGGAGTTGCCGTAGCCTCGGTAAGACCGTATGTTTTGTTGTTGGGTTGGAGTGATGTTCCTCAGTAGTATCGTGTACGCCATCATCGATTGATAGGTGTACTGCTGCTTCTCATACTGTGTGCCGTTTGTTGGGTATGGCAGGGACCCGTCGAAGAAGCCAAGGATTTGCGCTCCTTTCATCATCAGCTCGAATTCGAACGACCAGGTAAAGAAATCCTTCCCGTCGAAGGGTTTTGTCGTTTGCAGTTTTAGAACGTGCGGGAACTGCGACTGAACTTGTAGTGCGTCCAGCGTTCTCTCTTGTCCCGGTGCAGATTGTGGTTGTGGCATGAAACTGACGGAGCCGCGCTGGGGCTCGTACGGAGCGAAGGTAGGTTGCTCTTGTTGATTTCCGCGTGCGTAGGATGAGTCATCAAGACTCATGGGCGTCACGTTGTTGTTGTTGTTGCTGTTGTTTGATTGCGCAGGTGCTCCTTGCTGATGTTGCTCGTAGAAGGACATGAAGGAGAAGAACTTCTCCATCATGCTTGGATCGAAGCCCGCGCCTTGGTTTGCGGGTGTTTCAGTAGACCCAGCTGCCGGTCTCGTTGTTGTGCCTTCCTCTGTCTGTAGGCCAGAGGCAGGAGGTGGAGTAGGAGTAGTACCAGGAGAGCCGTTGGAGGAGCTCCTCTCCTTTCTGGTAGACATGTCTCTTGGTGTATTAGGTGTTGAGGAGAGATCATTTTAACCCTAACCAGCTCTCATACCATGTTGGGCTGAGTGCCCCTTAGGATCTTTGGTAGGGTTAAACTCTGGGTAGAGTGATGTAGTAGCGGAAGCGTTTAAATGAAGTCCTTGAACCACCTTGTGCTGGTATGTGAGGGCAAAGTAAGTTGATTAAAACAAGCAAGTACAAAGGTTTATATAAGAGTACAAAGAATACGAAGAGATATAATTAAACTGTTGCGGTTCGATACAGTGCGACTCGGGCAACTGCTCAATGTCGAGACAATTGTGTGTCCTTGCTGTCGCGCTGCATTTGTCAAGTCAAAGGTCGCTGACCTTTGACTTTCGCGTAACCTCCAGCGGTTACTTCAACCTCCGAGGGTTGACTCACTGGTGCCTCGATATGCTCTGCTTCGCTTGTGCCTTGGTGTTTCGACACGACAGAGGCGCTTAAGATTGTTTGTTCCCAACAAAAGTTATGGTACCCTAATGAACATGCTATGTAACAGATGCACTATGCTAAGAGCGTGTTCCTACACCTCGTATCAAGAGAACCTCGTACTATCAGGCTCACACTGAAAATTCCCCTAAACCCAAAACCTCTCGCTAGTTTTACCAGGCAACAAGTACACCCTTGATACGAGGTTTCCTGATGTGAGGCCGTAGGAACACACCCTAAGAGCACTTCAAAACATCAACAAATATATACGTACCAATAGAATAGGTGAAGTGTGTGCACAAAAACAGTTGTACCGGTATAATAAAAGACAATATCCCTAAGTTCCTTACACCATATCCATATGCTTGATGTGTCAACCTTCACCAGCATAGGCCAAAGCTCTGTCCAGCCATGCCTTACTCCCAAGGCCAACCAGCAACAGCGTCACTCCCAAGGCCAACCAGCAACAGCATCACTCCCAAGGCCAACCAGCAACAGCGTCACTCCCAAGGCCAACCAGCAACAGTGTCACTCCCAAGGCCAACCAGCAACAGCGTCACTCCCAAGGCTAGTAGGGACCGAAGTCAGTGCAGACGGAATCGCCCTCACTGCCGCGGCATCATTAGCGAAAGTATTACCAGCAAAAGCACCACCAGCAAATGCGTTCTTGGGAAAACCGTTTCTCCCAGACCCAGCAGCCGCCATGACAACCCCCTCTAGCTCCATCACGCGCCTCTCCAGCGCAGCAACATAACCCACTGCCCTTTCCAGCATAGCGCACGTGTCCCCCCGCCCCCTCACCTTCGCCCGCAGCCTCTGCAGCCCCTCACTGATCCTCTCCCTCCTTCGCCGCTCCGCCATGCTGCGTCTCTTAACCCTCTGGTTCAGCGCCGAACCAGTCCCCACGGCCTGGCATGGACGCGATCGCTCGTCGTTCGTGGCACACTCGTCTTGCACATCGCATGTGCAGCCAGTGGCCCTGCTCTGGTATATCACCCCGTGCTCATCTTGTGTGCGCCAACCTTCCGCACCCCTGCACGGATTGTCGCCTGCGGGGGACCTGAGCCGATCATCTGCGTTGCACACAGGCTGCTGCTGAAGGCACACGCCCGCACCAAACTCGTCGCCAGAATGCCACCGAACCCTGCCGCCCATGCCACCCATGCCGTCCACGCCGCTCGTGTCTGATTCTCCCACTCGTCTAGTCGCTGCGCTGCCCAGGATACGAGGATCAACAACCGTGGCACTGCCGCCCAGGATAGGTGTCGTTGTAGCACTGCCCAGGATAGACGTCGCTACGGCACTGGCTGGATTCGGCCGAACGAACGAGACACTGGCCGGTTCGAGCACGCTCCTCCGGCTGTGGCAGGCATGCGGGATATGCCTGGGGCCCTGCTGTCGCATGTGAGAGGCTGTTGCGAAGCTAGTGGGACCTCCTGGGCTTGGGATTTTTCTCTTCTTTCCAGCGTCGCTTGCTGAGTTGGTGCCAGTACTGCTGAAAACGCCATGCACAGCGAATTCGGGGGCCCCACAGCTGCCACCACTGCCACTCCTCTCCCCGCCCGGTCCTCCCTTGCGTCCCCACCCACCTCCACCACGAGCCAATTGCAGAGCGCCATCTGGACGGTACCTGGGAGCAAACGTAGAAGCAAGGGCGGTCTCAAATAGCTTTGTTGATGTTCCAGCATCCGAAAGTGAGGAGAAAGCTGAGAGCCAGTGCTCCCCCTCCCCTCCTTCCAACTGCTGCTCCTGCTGCTGTTGATAATCCCGTTGCTGGTGCTCCTTCCGCCGCTTCCATAGGTTCTGCTGCTGCTGTCTCTGCTTCTGTTGCTGCTGCTGCTGCTGCTGCTGCTGCTGCTGCTGCTGCTGCTTCCGCCTCGCTTGCGTAGACAGGTGCTGCTCCTCTGCCTGTGTGCGCGCCCGCAGGAGAGCCATGAGCTGCGCGCTGTCGTCCTCTTTGTCCCCCCTTATCTGCAGCCTCGCCGTCACCCGGCTTGACAGCACCGCTTCCCCTGCCTTTGCCTCTGCCCTTGCGTCGGCAACTGCTGCTTCTGCTGTCCCTGCTGCTGCTGCTGCCTCTGGCTGCTGTGCTTTCAGCTGCTGAACTTCCACCTGCTGTGCTTCCTGCAGTCGCAGCAAGCGTTCAAGGTGCGAGAGCCCAGCCAGCATGCGCTGTATCTGCACCTTTCCGCTTGCGAGAAGGGAAGAGAGCGGAGAGTGCGGCGGTACGAGAAGGGAAGAGGGCGGAGAGTGCGGCGGTACGAGAAGGGAAGAGGGCGGAGACTGCGGCGGTACGAGAAGGGAAGAGGGCGGAGAGTGCGGCGGTACGAGAAGGGAAGAGGGCGGAGAGTGCGGCGGTACGAGAAGGGTAGAGCGTGGAGAGTGCAGCGGTGCGAGCGGGGAAGAGTGTGGAGAGCGCGATGGTGCGAGCGGGAGAAAAAGGTCGTCCATGGCGAGGAGTGCGGCAGGAGCGAGGGAGTCCGACGGTGGTGGTAACACCGGCGGTGCCCCTCCCATGCTGCTGCTGCTGGTGATGGTGGTGGTAGTGCCGTGGCTGTTGTGGGGAGAGTGCGGCAGTGAGAGAAGGGTAGAGTGTGGAGAGTGCAGCGGCGCGAGCAGGGAAGAGTGCGGAGAGTGCGGCGGTGCGAGCGGGAAAAGAAGATCGTCCATAGTGAAGAGTGGGGCGGTAGCGAGAGAGTCCGACGGTGTCCCTTCCGTGCGACGTCGTTCAGGTTGCGATGTTGTTCAGGTAGAGCCGTGCGACGTCGTTCAGGTAGAGCCGTGCGACGTCGTTCAGGTAGAGCGGTGCGGCGTCGTTCAAGAACTGGCAATACTAGAGGCCAGCGGTTGAGCCTGCGAGCGGGCCTTTACCGGCGGTGAAATGGGCAGCGGACGATATGACGCTAGGAGAGCCTCTCGTCTGAGCCGTCACAATGTGGCACTAGGAGTCTGCACAACTGGCATGAAAGGAGCTGAGATGAAACGACTTCGTTTCGGAAATGAGATGAAAGGCGGATGCGAATCTGGTACTAAGAACGAGACATTCTTCGAGAAATACTGCAACACTTTCTGGGAAGGATTGGAAGGGCACTCTTCCGCTCCGCCGCGTTTGTTGCGATCGCGGCGCCATCCCACCCGTAGGGTGAGTCGTGCGCCAATCGTGGCGTCCCCAGGCGGCAGACACGGGGCGCTCCGCCTCACATGATTGGGGCCACCACACCACGAGCTTTCGCTGTGACAGTATCGCTGCGCTGCACGTTCTTGGCGGCAGTCAACCGCCATCGCACGGGACGCACGCAGTTAGTACAGTACGATGTCGTGGAGGCACTAATCCACCACTAGTGCGTGGTTCGGTTCGATGCCTAGCAGCAGGTCGTGTTACAGTCTGGACCTCCATAGAATGCCGTCGACTGTGTAACTGTGCGAAATCAGAAGTTACACGTACAGCAAACTCTAGGTGCGCTGGCAACGGTCAACCGCTCCGCATGCAGCGATTCATGATGGATGGAGCGCGCTGGATTTTAGATCTGGAAGCTTGGGCAGAAATCCAGTGACCGAAATAGTCGTGGTGTGACTCGTTAGTGAGCTGGAAGCTTGAGCCGAAAGCGAGTGAACCAGAAAGAGAGCTAGTGAGCTGTATCGAGAAGTACCAGCTAGGCCTACTGTACTGTACAGTCTGGAAAACCGACACGGAAGTTACCCTAGAAGCGCGGGAGGGGGGGCAAGCCCGAGGGAAATTGCTGCAAAATCACGAGGCCACAGCAGGAAATTTACCGTCCAGACCAGACGTCTGGAGTTTTGCTCGGTTTTGCCTGGTCTTCTGACCAGCCGTGATCACACTGACCCTGTTCGACAGGCAGGCAAGCCCTTCCGCGGAATCATCACGGCTGTTTCCACTTAGACTTTTTTTCTCACGGTCAGCCCGCAAATTGGTGTCACTGGGCCTTAGCGCCCTGCAACCTGAAGGGTTAAGGGTTAGGCTATCGAACGTGCCGTTAACCCTTCAACTTCATCTCCCCCGAAAGCTCCCAGCTCCTTCTCTCCCGCGCAGACTTTAGCCTAGCTCTAGCCCAGCCCTCCAATCCCCAGAAGGGAGGTTGGCCAAGGGCTAGGCTAGGGTTCCATACGGGAGGGAATACCCACCTCATACCCTACGAAAGTTTTCCCACCAGTGCCCATGCTCTCGCCTCTCCCATCTCTGCCCCTGAAAAAGTCCCTTCCTCACACAACCAAACCAGCCACCAGCCACGCACGACTCTCACTTCTCCACTTCTCCCTTGAGTTACCCAGGTTCCCATGCCATCCCTACGCAAAATTTTAGACCCTGCCCACAATGAAGATGGTGGAAGGAGGGGTTGCAACATCGCCATGACGACCCCCTCCTTCCGACCTCGGGAGGCGCTGCTTCCGATTTCGTGGGTGGGGGGGTAGCCTGGGAGAAGTTACTTCGAAAACTCCTCTTAGTTCTAACCTAACCCTAGCTCTCCAAGGAGGTGCCTGCCTGTCGAACAGGGCCACTAAATTGTGCACGACTCGCGACACGACACGAAATCTGGCGAAGCAGCAAACATCTCGCGACGGTGTTGTCCCACGGAGTGGCGATGATTTCCGAAATTGGTTTCCATGTTTCGAGGTGCTCCTATGAAGTAACAAACTGCAAGGGCTTGACCATTACTGTACCCGCGTGATCAGCGTGTTCTTTGATTCGACCCCATTGAACTAAACCCAGCAAGCTGGGTGTATGACGGTTGAGGGCGATGGGTGCATGTGGGACTGTGTTAACACTTTCAATTTGGTCCTACTATGAGTATGCTCAGTGATTGAACACTATCCAGATTCATTCTCACAATATGTTCTCTGCACCAGCTGAAGTGTTTCAAAAAGACACCACTTATTGCCCCTGATAGACCATTCACTACATAATATCACAGCCATGAATCAGCGCATCTAAACAGCAGATTTACCAATGCGGTCAAAGGCACTGATGCCAGCCACGCGGCCATACACCACACACTCAAGCAGGGAGTTACCACCCAGACGGTTTGCGCCATGCAGCCCACCTGTGTGAAGCACAAGAACACAAGCCATGAGCTCAACAGGCATACTAAGACGTGTACAAACGCCAACACTTGCATCAATTGGGAAACATCTGCTTCCGTGCGCATCTGTTACGTGAGCCTGACAATTTGTTCCACTCACCTGTCACTTCGTCGGCACCCAAGAGCCCTGGAATGGGCGTGCAATCTTCCTTGAATTACAGCCGCTGGTGTCAAAATCACCCAACCTTGCATCACGACAAATGGCAGCTGGTCACCTTTCACGTAAACCGGATTATCCTCATTGCTCACCTGTCACTTCGCCAGCTCCAAAGAGGCCAGGAATGGGCGAGCCATCCTCCTTGAGGATGCGGCCGCTGGTGTCAAACTTGAGCCCTCCCATGCAGTAGTGCAGCGACGGCGTGATGATGGCCACGTACAGCGGGGGCTCCGAGGAGCTGCACGCGAGGGAGAGACACAGGAGGGGACAGGGTGTTGGTGAAGCGGTGGGAAGTTGAGATGGAAAAGAGGGACGTTTGACTTGAGCCCTCCCGTGCAGTAGCGCAGCGATGGCGAGATGATGGCCACGTACAGTGGAGGCTTCGAGGAGCTGCACGTGAGGGAGAGACGTAGGCGGGGACAGGGTGATGGGTGAAGCGGTAGGAAGTTCAGATGAGACAAGGAAAAGTTTGACTTGAGCCTCCCATGCAGTAGCGCAGTGACGGCGAGATATGGCCATGTACAGTGGGGGCTCCGAGGAGCTACAAGGGATGGGGACATGCAGGGGCAACAGGGATGGATGGGTTTGGGAGAGGAGAGGTGGCGAGGTGGTGCGGAGTTCAATGGGAATGGGTTAGAGGATAACAAGAGCGCGGAAGAAAACAACCCACTGGCCAAGGCAAATGACTCAGGTAACCTGTTGGTGCAGAGGGTGCTGTTACACAAGGACATTTAGGACTTTAGAGGCGCCTCAAAAGGCATGGAATGAGCTTACCGAGCGGAGCATGTAAGACTTCCAAGGCACTTAGTGAGCTTACGGAGTGGAACATGCACGACTTATGAGGTGCCTCAAAGGAAGGGAATTGAGGCGGAGAGCACTCACTTGAAGAGCACAGGGAAGACGGTCTTGCCGAAGGGGTCGCCCTTCTCTGCGTCATGGTGGCCGTACGCGTCCAGAGCAGCCTTCACGTTGGCTGCTGGCAGCTTGGTGCCCTCGCTCAGTGCCTCCACGCTGTCAAACTGGGCGGGATAAGGCACGCCGGGGCGAAAAGGTGGGGGGGCAGGGGAGGAAAGAGAGAAAAAGTGGGTCACAAGAACAGAGGAGAGTGGGGTCTGAATGAAGAAGGTGAGGTGGGCTGGGTGGAAACATAAAAGGTGATAACTTTGTTGAAATCACAACTGGCCTGCGCATGGCAATCAGCCATCTTCCATTGCTCTAGGCACCGCCTGAATGAACTGCCCATGGCAAGGCGCCTTTGTTGAAAGGATTTCAGTGCAAATAGTTTCGTGACAGATAGTGACTGTCAACAGCTGAACTCCTGACTTAGCTTGAGATACGGCATTATTCCAAACCGATGTTCACATCCCTGCCCCGTTGCTTCGCTCCTGCACCCACCCGCCTTTCTCACCCTCCTGCATCACCCTCTTCCTTTACACTCCCTCCCCATACCCGCACCTCACCTTGCGGATAAGCCCCTTGCCGATGTAGAACTGGCAGGAGAGCGGGTCGAACTTGTTGATGGCCTCCTGGTTTAGAATCAGGTACGACACAGCGGGCATGTCCGCGCCCCCTGCTGGCGCGTCTGGCACCTCCGGGAGTGGGCCGCAGTGCTTCAGAATCGCCTCCACCACCTGAGAGCAGACGGAAGGCGGTGAAGGAAGTATGTAGAGTGGGGAGTTAAGCGGTGAAGGCAAGCCAGGAGGATCATTAAGTAATGCCCACCCTTTCCACCCTTCCCACCTTGCTCTGTCTGCCCAACCTTGCCGCCCTTTCCACCCTTCCGGCTCTTCCCAACCTGCCTCCCCACCCTTCAAAGTTGCCACCCTTCCCACCCTGCCCCCCCTTCCCGCCCTTCCCATCTTTACCACCCTTCCCATGTCCCACCCTCCCCACCCTTGCCAACCTACCCACCCCTCCCACCCTGCCCACCCTTCCTGCGCCGAACCAGATCTCGCAGAAATCCTCGCCTCTGTGCATCTCTCACATCCCTTTCCCCGCCTGCCACCATTCCCTCGCCCCAGCCCACCTCAGCTTCACTCACCGACCACTCCTCGCAGTCAGTCCGCTCGTGTACTCACCGCGTCCCTGGTAGTCAACTCGTTGACGAAGCGGCCCTTCTCATTCTAAAGAATCCCGCCTCATCCGCGCAGGGCTTCGGGCGCGAGGAACTTGACGGGGTTGCGCGGGTCCTTGGGATCCACGTACCCCGTCGGGTGCAGCTGCACCTAATCCAAGTGCACCAGCCCCGCGCCCGCACCCATTCCCACTTCCACCCATATCTCCCTTTGCCCTCTCCCCTCTGCTTCATCACTCGTGGCGCCCATCCCTCGCAACAGCTCGATTACTCACAGCGTCTCTCGTAGTCAGCTCGTTGACGAAGCGGTCGCCCTTCTCATTCAAAAGAATACCGCCGCATCCGCGCAGGGCCTCGGGCGCGAGGAACTTGACGGGGTTGCGCGGGTCCTTGGGATCCACGTACCCCGTCGGGTGCAGCTGCACCTGATCCATGTGGATCAGCCCCGCGCCCGCCGCCACGCCCAGTCGCACGCCGTCGCCCGTCGCGAACGGCCCGTTGGTGGTCGCCAGGTTTCGCAGCTTAGGAGTGTGCTGGTCCAGCAGACCTCCCTCGGCCTTGTCGGCGGAATAGCCGCCTGTGGCGAGGATGACTGCGGACGCCTTCACCTCCGTCTCTTCCTTGCCGCCCTGAGGAGGGGAGGGGTGCGGTGGGAGGAGGAGGAGACGGGAAGGGGAAGCAAGCAGGGTGACGTTGAGGGCAGACAGCTTTTGTTGTTTTGCTCTTCTATCAAAGGCGGTTTCTCAACGGCTATTGCCACTCAAGTATTTTTTGCTTCTCAACGCACTACGGGCGGAAATTCTACAGCTGCCCGTGTATGTAATTTTCGTCACATCCGCTACGCGGTAACTTGTGTGTGAGACGTGCTGCCAGGACCCGCCCACTTACAGATCCGTCAGCCGCGGGGGTCTCGTACTTGACGCCGGTGACGGCGCCGCTGTCGTCTGTGAGAAGCGCGGTCACACGGGCCTGCTTCACCACCTTGGCCTGCAACAAGCACGCAGAGAGACGACGAGACGACACACACGCACGGAACAAGAATGAGCCACGAATGGGAAAAGCGTGGGACTAATGAGTGACGATGGAAGCATGACGGAAGGGCAGCAGGGACGCGGGGAACGAAACACACCGCGAACGAACCCATCGCCACAGCAAACGAATCCACACGCCACAGCGAACGAACCCATCGCCAGAAATCTGACGTACCTTATCGGCAGGAAGGGCTTCGACGTATTTGATGAGCACGGACATGATGCGGAAGCCGATGTTCATGGGCTTGCCGTCGGGCTTGGACCTGTGCGTGCGCGGATGCTGCTTCGCCGCAGCGGCAGCAGCAGCGGCGGCGAGCAAGGGGCGACGCAGCAGGGAGAAGAAGGGGGACAAGAGGAGAAGGGAGTTCAAGGAAAAAGGCTCAATTGACCTTCCTACATGGAACATTTTCACAAGTGTACGGACCAATCCCTTTTTGTTTTGGAAGTGGAAGTGGAAGTCATGGAAGTGCAGAGCGAACCAGACGAGATGGGGCTCTTTACCATGGATACATAACGAGGGCTTCGAACTCACCGAGTGGCCGCCGAGTTGCGCGATGCTGGAGAGGTCGATCTGGAAGCCCTCGAGGAACGCGACGGCGTCCGCGCTCTGCTTCACAATCACGTCCACCAATGCCATGTCCGATAGGCCCTTGCCGGACCTACAACGAATAGAAAGGAACGCGCGAATCGTGTGAAATGCGCAAGCACACGATGAGAGGACCAGAACATGAGGACTGACCGTCACGAAAACATTTGTTCGGAGCTCCATTTGATGACAAAAGAAGGACAGACGGGACGAACGGCTACAGACGGGAGAGGACTCACTTCTCGGTGTCCTTGGCGAAATCTTCCAGTTTGTCCTCGATGCCACTGGCAAGCTGGGGCCCACTGCGAGCAGCGTTCATTCCTATTGGAGAAAGAATCAAAAGAAAAAATGTAGGGGAAAAAACACTGAGCCATTTGATGCAATTGTCATCATTCATAGCCACATTCAGAGCAAACATTTGCCTTTCGAACGTTGCGATGCAAGAGTTAGGCTGAAAACGGCAATGAAAGACGGAGGGGTTGATGCTCACCAGAGCTCGCCTTGCCAGAGTTCCCGCCAAGCCTGCAAGGTAATCAGAATCATTGAGAACGCCGGATCACAAACAAGTGGTTCAAGACGATGAGAAACGTTGGTACAAGAAATGGCCGAATCCGTGACTCAAGGGAAAGAAAGAAAGAAAAAAAGAAATGAGAATAAGCAGCTTACTGTTCGCTCAGCAACGCTCAGCAACTGACCGCTCGCTCTTTTCGAGGACGAGGACGGATCCACCTCGCTTGACGACTTCCACGGCAGCAGACAGGCCCGCAAGGCCGCCTCCCACCACCACCACGTCAGGGAAAGTAGCCATTTTTGTCACTGCAAGCAGCCGCGAGTACAGCGAAGGACATTAGGAATAATATATTGAAGCGCAGACGAAAGATATTGACAATGATGCATCCTCTCGCGAAGAGAAAGGTGGAGAAGAACATGATCAACATGCGAGCCGTTATACCCCATGAAGGTAAGAAACGAACTCGTGAAGCAGATCTACAGGTCTTGATGCGTAATGAATCGGAAGCAAAGAACGGAAACCGGAAGAAGGCGGAGGCTGGAATCCGATTGCAAACGAAAGAAGATGTCATAGAAACATTATTCTAGGCACCCTGCGATGAAAAAAATAGAGAAATACTGAGTATCTGATTCCAGAAGTCGAGAATGTCACCTTCAGTTACAGAACCGGCTTTTTCCGATTGCAAGTCAGCTGTGGTTTTGAATTGGTCGCTCAGAGGTTGAACAACAGCGCTGGGATTCAGATCAACGGTAAAGGCGTTGCCAGGGACTTGAATGGCGAGGGAGCAGCAGACGAGGACTAGGAGCAGAAGCACCACGCCCTGCACGTGGTGGGAGTTGAGGAAAGACATGGGGGAATTCATCTGCCACGTGGCATCAGCTGTCAGGGGAGACGCGTTGTCTGTCGATGATCTCAAGGAAACTGTACTCTCTTTAGCGTGCGAGGGAGTCGAGATTCGTCTGCTGGCCATGACATGACGAGACGAGCAATCGACCACTTCATGCCGCATGAATAAAGGGCTAAGCAAGAGCAGGCAGATGCCAGGTTTCAGAGGTCGTACAATAATAGTTCAGTCGACCCTTGATATTGTTAAGCGGTGCTGTTGTGCAGCGGAAAGCTTTTCTGCAGCGGAAAACTTTACTAATGGAGTTGCAAGTAGGAATGAAGGAATGTGCTATGTTGTGTTTGGTATTATCATGAAACTACCATGCTGCTGGCAGGGAGGGGAGAATCGGGCATGAAGGTCTGCTGGGTGGTTGGTCGGTTCAAGGAATCACCACCAACACCCCATTGCACGCATTCTCTGGATGACGTGTTAGTTTCGTGCAAAACCGCCTGCCCGGATCGAGCCAATCCTGCACGACTCTGAAGTTATTGTGACTACTCAGACGGGGAGTCTAGATTGATTCGTTTCCATGTATCCCACCTGCCTTGTTTACCACAGCCAAGTGAAGACCCTTGTGACCTGTTTTGACGAGTTTTTTCAGTCTGGTAGAGCTGACCGTCAGTACACACTTCTTTGCGCAGAATGCTTCGCCAGCCAATCACCAGTCAATCTCTACACAAATTCAGCAACCGCCTCGAGGATCTCTCTGTCTCCCTGCTTCGTATCTCCCAGATTCCAGGGGAATTGGCTGAGTCGGAGCCTTGCGTGGCAAGGCGTGGTTACACATTCCAGCACAGATTCATAATGCTGGCATGTCAAATTTTCATCAGTTATTGCAATTCCGGTATTATATTCATCCTAGTTCGCTGTAAATTCCAGCCCAAGCCTTCTCTTGAACGGTTCTTCAAGTAAACATACGAGCTGCCTTTTGCTTTCGTAGAATTTGCTCATCAAGGAGTTGTGAAACATAATTTACTTTGCACTGGCAATAAAATTTGAAAAGCCTGTATTCACATTGGCTTGAACGAAGTAAATACGGTAGGTTACTTCACAGCAACATGTCTCACAAAATTGTGATGGGCATACGGTAATGTCCATGCTCCACCTCGTGCAGTGTGCTCTTTCAAGTACGAGTCACTCATGCACTCTGCTCTTCCTAGTACTGGTCTCTCCCGGCCTGTAATGACACAGCCCTAGAAAAATCACCTCTCTAGAACCCACCATGTGTTGCCACGTGCTCCACCTCTTCCGCTGTGCTCTCCCTCCGCAGCACGTCATTCCTGTGGGGAAACCGACCAAACTTGACAATGATGTCACGGTGTTTGTGAGCAAAGCCCACCCACCCGGACAGGGAGTCCTTGAGTGGGCCTTCTGGTGCCTCTGCTACTGACTCCGACAGCAGTTGCACACACAGGTCCTGGTCTGCTATATCTGGTGAGTGAGGAGGGGGAAGGGGGGGAAATGAAAAGGAAGATTTGAGTTACTGTATGACAAAAAAATGAACACTTGAAGAGAGTGCCTGGTGATTCAGCTGCTGACTCTGATAGCAGCTGCACACAGAGGTCTTGTTCTGCTAGGTCTGGTTGGGGGAAAAAGACACGAGAAGTTTGAGAACCGAGCATCAAACTGGGATGAATTCAAACCATCTGAAACTCAATCTCAGATGCTTAAAAACGAACTGATCAGCGCTCCCCAAACATATGTTCCAAAACGGCTAAAAAAACAGTAAACTGCCTGGAGCTTGTATCTACAGAGCATCTAAGATTGACCCACCTTCTGAATGCATAAATGGCAGGTAGAAAAAGGACCGAATACGAAGGTGAAATTGCTTGTTGAATCCCTTGGCTATGGCCCTGCATTGCACATAACAAAATCCATCTCTTGGTGAGGACAAGCAGCCGCAATAAAAACATGGCACTTCCACACAAACTCCAGGGTCATGAACAAAAAAGAGGAGTAGAAGCACATCAGCAATGAAACTCGTTAGACATGAGAATTGGATACGGGCAGCACAGAGCGCAGCTTGGAGAAGATATTTGCTTGGATAAATAAGAAAGTGACTCAAGTTTAACGGCACGAGCTGTTAGAAAGAGAAAAGAAGGAGCAGAGAGCCAGTTTTGACTGCACAACAGGGTGCTCTAAAGGTGCGATTACAAAGGGACTGAATTCAGTCACCTTTTTGCGACTTCACGGGCCAACGCGTCCTGTAGCAGGGATGGAAGGACGTGTGGGAAAGTACGAAGAAGGGGAAGGTAAACAATTTAGACTCAGCCCAGGAAGAGCCCTGAAGAGGGATTTCCAGGGAGGGAGGAGGGAGGTTATGGGAAAGGACGAGGAGATGCAGATGAAAAGGAAGACTATTCTGTGAGTCACGGAAGAGTTTGGAACGACAATCAGTTGGTCAGATTGCGAAAGAAAGCGACTCGATGCAATGATTGTAATGATGGTGCATGTTGGAATGAAGGTGGCATCGCTTGTGGTGCCATCACAGGGAGATAGAGTCGAGATAATGAAAGACTGTCTGAATTATAGTAGTAGTGAGTATTTGAGGTACATGCTGCAGAGGGTGAAGAGGCTCTTGACGGTTTAGAGATGACAGTGAGCTCTAGATTGTAGGAATTGCAGTGACGTGGACGCTGATTGCAATGACGTGGATAAGCGTTGCGGAAGGTGACGTCAGCACTCACCTGAGCAAAGGAGTCAGGCGATCCCCTGAGGCTGTTCCTCGTAAACTGGTCCAGCAGCACGACCAATGCCAGCGAGCCACGTGGCGTGTCTTCCCAGCCTGCCAGCTGGCCTGACGCAGCGAGCGGGATGAGGGGGGCGAATCTGGCGCGGATAAAAGCGTCCACGTCAGCATCTTTGCGGAACCAGAGAGATTGCTTGGCTGCCACGACATCATCTTCTGGTGCTGGGCCCTGCCAAGGAGCAATAAGAGGGTTGGAAGCACAAGAAAATGCTACGTTTGGAAAGGGGGTTGGGAGTTGGGAAAAACTTACTTCAATTCAAAATAATGCTTGGCTTGGAAAGAGATTTGGTACTGCCATTTTCTCACAGCATAGTCAATTCGTTATTAAGAATTCTCTGAAACCGACTCACAGCATAATCAGGCGCCATGAAGTCGCCGAACCAGTACACGAGAATCTCGTCAGCTGCCTTGTCCACGTCAGCAGGCGTCACCCCGCTGCTGCTCGTCGCTACCGGACCGTCGGAAGCCATTGCTGCCGTCACTGTGGCGGTAAAGTGCCGGCGTTGGTTACGACCGGCAATAAATTTAAGAGCTGGAGGATCTCTGTGAGCGACAGGCGTGGCCGTGGACCCTGACCAGATGTGTTTTTTCTTGATGGCGACGCTGTTGTCGCAGCAGCAGCTACAGATGCTACTGCTGTTGCTGCTGGTAACCCTGTAACTGCTAACACTAGATCTTGACAGTCCGCCAATCCCTGAATGAAATTGCGTGGTAACAGAAAATTTCAAGGGTAGATGCACAGGCACCCGTTGAGACCTTGAAATATCGGCTCTCTTTGACGAATCTGGGCAAGAGAAGCGGAATTGCGAAAATGGAAATATTATTTCAATCGCCGAGGCTTGTCTAGCTCTCGAAAATACCGAGGCTTCGAGTCTAATGGCGAGCATCGGGCTGAAACGCTTTTCCGAATAACCGGCTGTCTCAGACCCAACGGCTAATACTGAAATTCCGGCAAATGCGTTTGATAGAGGCGCGCAGCCTAGGCTAATGAGCAGAAGTCAGAATGGATCTTGTCTAGAGATTTCCTCATGTGGCAGAGCAGACTGTAGTGTGAAGTGAGGTGCTGCCTCGGCGGTAGCAATTGGGAGGTTCTTGAAGTTGGCAAGAATAGTGGAACCACACATCGCATCATTGTAGGCGCGGATATGGAATTCGGAATTTGATAAGACTTCGAATCTTGGCTAGGTTTGAAAGGGTTCAGATTGTTCTAGTACGGTCAATTCAGACTTCGTAATTTTGCCGTTCTGAACCGTTCATAATCGCCTCATACTTAGCTAAAATTTGGATAGCACTCTGATTTTCAGACTGGATAACGCCTTTCACCGTTTCGAACCGCTCTAATCACACTTCTGACCGGAGAAACTGCCCTGGAGAATATCGGTCAAAGCAAGGCAAACTGCCCCAGCAGCCCCGAAAACCAGTGAAATATGACCTGCCTCGTGCGCGGTGCAGCTCGGTTGGTCCAAAGACTTCTCAATTCTCTGCCATGAAATGTATCAATAGGGAAAAACATTTTATGTGGGTGTTCACTTTAAGGCGTGGATTACCGTATGCATGGCACTAATATATTTCCTACGGTACGTATATCCGAAGTAATGTTCCGACCTAAGGCAATTGCTGACGTGTGGGAACAATCTCTTCCCTCCAACCCAATGCTATTGCGGCTCAGCGGCAGTTTCGGCTCCTTCCTCTTCCACTGCGTTTGAAACACACACCCATCACAACCACGCCATGAAGAATATCAGAAGTAGAGCATGATAGCTTCCACTGCTTTCATATATAAACGAAATATGGTACAGTACATGCATCAGGTAATGGCTGAAATCTGTGAGGAAACATGGAAGTTAAAAGTGCAGTCAGGTTGATTCATAGGCCATGATGATGGAAGGTGGAACGGCATGATGTGTGCATGCAGAGATCTGAGTGAAAGTACATGCGAGAGAGAGAGAGAGAGAGAGAGAGAGAGAGAGAGAGAGAGAGAGAGAGAGAGAGAGAGAGAGAGAGAGAGAGAGAGAGAGAGAGAGGGAGAGAGAGAGAGAGAGAGAGAGAGAGAGAGAGAGAGAGAGAGAGAGAGAGGAGGAAGGGGTGGGGGGGGAGGGTGGGGAGAGAGAGAAGTAGAGAGGGATGAGAGAGGGGGAAGGAGTAACAGAAGGGAGGCATTCAACTACCGTGATCCTTGTGGGCTTCAACATCCTTGGGCGACGTCAATGATTTTAGCTCCTCTCGTTTGGCAGATCCTCCTCCCCCACTACCACGGTAGTTTTGCTTCACAGTAGACTGCTGGTACATCACCCCACCAACGATTGTAATGAATAGACATAGCACTCCAAACGGGGATGCGTGCTTATCCCATATCATCACGTTGATGACGACAGTCAGCAGCTTGTTCGTCACGCCAAGTACAGTAAACGCCGTGGCTGAAATCGCTTTTCTGCACGCGAAACCGAAGAAGCTTATAGCGAGGCCGAACGCGCAGGAAAGCAGCACAGGGAAGACGATCCCGAATTCCCACGACGCCGTGCTCGCGGCTTTAATCGTATCGCGAAATTCTCCCGTGATCATCCAGAAAACGGGAGCCATGAGGAGGGAGAGGAAGTTGTTGTAAAGGACGAAACCCCAGGTGTTCAGTCCCAGGCTGGTGACTATATGCTTGATGTACACCATCTCGAATGTGATTGTAAAGAGGTAAGCGAAGGCCCAGGTGTAAGCTCGGACGGTGTATTGGCTGTCTGTAAACACGTACCCTACAGCTCCCACTAGAATCACTACCAGCGCGCCCAGAGTGTAAGGCCCTGGCCATGGCTGCTTCCTGAATAAGTAATCGGCGAACGCGACGAGGAGGGGCGTGGAGGATCGGAAGATGATGAAGGTGTCGACATTTGCGTAGCGAAGCAGCGAGGTGTTGGTGAAAATCGCCATGTAGAATACGAAAGCGGCCGGAATGAATTTTTTGATCATGTCCCATCGGATCGGGTCGTGGACTAGGAGTTTAAATTGACCGGATGTGACGACGGCGACGACGCATGTGAGGTACTGGAGAGAGGTTAAGAGGCTCGGGTAAGGAAAGACGCCGATGGCGAATTTGTTGATGATTGCGAGGAGGCTGGAGCAGAGAGCGTAACCGACGGCTAGCGGGAGAGCGGTTAGGTCGCCTAAGTTGATGTTGACGCCGAATAGCTTGACGCTCGTGTTCTCCTTGTACCACGGCGCCATTGCTGACGTGTCAACGGTAGAGCAATTGCCGTTTTACTGGCTGATCGGCGACGGGACGAGACTAGCGACCAGCGTCAACACCATGAGCGGGATCTACAATGGCAGCACGAACCAGTGACGCTTTATGGACCTCCATAAATTACGCGCACGAAGCAGGCTTCAAGTCGTAGGCAAATAGCATGGGAAAGACGTGATGCATAGGAGATCAATCATAGGTTAGGTGGAGTGGAGCATCTGATAAGGGCTGGTGAAGTGAGCACGCAGAGGCGGGTTGGAGAAATCAGGAGTGTGCTGTGGGTAGTGGTTTTCCACACGGTAAACATCGGTTCTTGGCAAATCCGTGCTGGACATTTCCTGTGAGCTGGTTTGATGCGGTAGCGGTTCGATGCGGTTTGGTGTGAATAGAATCAGGCCGGAGTTGCAAATTTGCATAATTTGCTACAAAAGTCCACCACAACCCACATATGAAACATGTGCTGAATCTTGTACTGGAGCAACCCAAAACGAATTTGGAGGGAAGAGGGAATGATCAGCACTTGATGCCTGTCGGTCCTTCGGGATTTGGTTCCTAGAAATTTGTTCCTCAAGCAGCCATTCAGGACAGTGAAAGCTTCTATTAGTGTCGCAGGCTCGTGTGTTGAACTATCATCAGTTTCGAATACATTCCGTATTTTCTTGCACGAAAATATGGCGGTCGACTCGCAAGAAGCCATCCGCCTGGCGTTCCTTCTCGAGCCAGGCCACAACGTCAGCAGTACGGATGGTTTTGATTATCTTGGCACCCGACGGTTTCTTCTTAAGACTAAAGCTCAAGACGCGACCCTCCAGCGACACGTAGGTGATCATAATGATGCCTCCGGATGTCATATTGTAACTCTCGATCCATGTACAATGCTCAAACGGCAAAGATACGCTTCGACCCGCATTGAGTCTATATTTATGATACGACATTAGACGCTTGTTCTGCGATCTCCGAATACTTTGTCGACGTGGATGGCTGAGGTCTGCTCTTCCCTATCTCGACATCGTTGTTGAACGTGGTAACCACACCCTCCCCTCGCAGTCCCCTCGCACTCCCCTCGCCTTTCCCTCGCAATCCCCTCACACTCCCCTCTCACTCCCCTCACACTTCCCTCCCGCACCCCAGCACTGGCAGCACGTGTCAGGAGTGGGCTACGCCGATTTCCGCGCCTTCCTGCGCGCCCAGCGGGACACGTGGCGGCAGGAGCGCGAGGCAAGCAGGGAGGAGGAGTGGCGCGCAGCACCCACAGCGCCCCATGCTGACGTGGCTCCTCCAGAAGCTGATGCAGGGCAGAAGGCTCAAGGGAAGGTCGATATGGGGGAGGTTAGCATGGGGGAGGAGGTTGATACGGGGAAGGCTGGTATCGGGGAGGTTGTAGGGGAGTTGGGAACGGTTCAGGCAGACGGGATGACAGTGGCTGATGTCCGTGGGGAAGAAGAAGAAGAGTCGGAAGAACGGCTTACGAAGCCTGCAGCAACTGAGACTGTTGTGGCAGGAGGACAGAGTACTGTTGCTGCTGATTCGAGTGCTGGTGCTGGTGGTGCGGATGATGCTGGTGGTGGTGCTGCTGCTTCTGCTTCTGCCGTTCCCGATGTTGCTGCTGATGCTACTACTAAGACCTCCCAAAGCACTGACACGGCTGCTCTTTTCGCGAGTGGTAGTGCTGCCGGCTCCATAGCTGCTGCTGTAGCAGCAGCACTTGGAAAGCCAGAACCTGCGCAAGTTACTCAACCAGCAACAACCGCGCATGTTGCTGCTGCATCCTCTAAAGCTGCTGCTCCCACTTCTGATGGGCCTGAGGAGCAGAGGGAAAGCGGAATAGAGGAGGAGGTGGCGATACGGATCAGCGCAGCCAGTGGCGCAGGTGCTGCTGGTGTATCTTCTGATGCGCGCACGGACAGGGAGAGAGGGGACGAGGAAGGTGGGAATGAAGTTGCATCATCATCATCCGCAGCAGTGGAGGAGGAAGAAGAGGAGGAAGTAGGAGTAAAGAGACGAGACGGAGGAGCGGGGTTGGCAGCTTCAGCAGCAGCAGCAGATGTAGCAGCAGAAAATCAAAGGGACAAGAAGGAACAGCAGGGCAGCAAGCACAAGGACGGCAAGCAGGACGAGAGCAAGCACAAGGACGGCAAGCAGCCGCCGTCCCCTCCGGCCCTCCCTGCTGGCTTCACCTCCTCCATCTGCAGCGTTCTCCCAGAAGCTTCTCGGAACGTTCTTCCTCCTCCTCCTCCTCGGCCTGGGGCAGCAGGGGAAGCGGAGGGGAAGAAGGGTGCGAGGAGAGGGAGTGAAGGGGCAGGGAGCGAGGGGGGTGCGGGGAAGGCGCTGGAGAGGAGGAGATCGGCAGGGGAGGCGGTGGCAGGGAGGGGGAGTGGGGAGGTGGGCCCACCTGTGCGCATGTGTGCTGTCTTCGATGATTGCCTCGCTTCAGGTGCGACACTGACACTGACACTGACACTGACTACCTATTTGTTCTGGGAGAAGGTTCAAAAGTAAACCTCGTTTTCAGTCCAACAACCATCCGACGTTCGATACTTTTCTCATATGTGGCCCTTTGTCGTCCTCTTATCTTTCTGCATCTTTTGAGTCGACTCAAAAGTCAGCTCTTGTTTTCAGTCCAACAACCATCCGACATTCGATACTTTTCTCATATGTGGCCCTTTGTCGTCCTCTTATCCTTCTGTGTCTCCCCTTCCGCCTCAGAAACCACCTCTCGCACTACTCTCTCCATCCATCCTACCACCTCCTCTCCTCATCACCCTTCCCCGCCCCTCCCTTCCTCCCTTCTCCTCTCCTTATCGCATCGTCTTCCCTTCACTGAACGATGTTCAGTTCACCTGGCACCACCCTGACCTGACCTGCTGGCATACGGGCTGCTTGCGCCAAACGCACCTCTTTCCACTTCACCCCCCCCCTTTTCTCCACGCCCCCTCCCTCCCTGCAGTGAACAAGGTGCAGTTCTCCCGGCACCACTCGGATCTGCTTGCTCGCGTGCACGGGGGCAACGTGTCAAGCCAACGTGTGCCTACTGCCCCTCCCTGACCTGCTTGCGCCAAGTGCACTTCTTCCCCTCCCCTCTCTCCCCCTCGGCCAGTGAGCAAGGTGCAGTTCGCCCAGCACCACCTTGCTGCTCGCCCGCCTATGGTGCAACGTCTGCCTAATGCGCCCCACTCTCCACCACCACGATGAAAAACCCTTCTCTCCCTCCCTGCAGTGAACAAGGTGCAGTTCGCCCGGCACCACCCTGACCTGCTCGCCTACGGGGCAGCGGACGGCACGCTCCGGCTGTGCTATGTGCCGTGCAGCCGGGGGGGCAATAAGTCAGGTGGCGCAGGGGGGAAGCGGGGCGCTGCGAGTGTAGCTCGAGTGAAGCACGAGCTTAAAGGGCACACCAAGGAGGTGACTGGTGAGTGAAACAAAATCAGGCAGACCCATCCTTCTGTGGAGTCGCTCCCTCTTAAGTTGGCTCAACACTCATGGGAAAGGAGAGAGGGGTGCTGTGAGCGTGGCGCGAGTGAAGCACGAGCTCAAGGGACACACCAAGGAGGTCACTGGTGAGTGAAACATCTGCCCCCCCCACTCACTCACCTCTTTCTTCCTCCCCCTAGTGAACAAGGTACAGTAACAGTTCTCCCGGCACCACCCGGACCTGCTGGTCACCGTGACCTCGTGAGTGAAACCCGTCCTGCCGGGTGGAGTGGAACCACTCCTCGCTTTCAAGCTTCAAGGACGGCCACTCTTCTGCCTATGCACTTCAAGATTCACATTGGGTGCACGACGGGCAGAGCCGGTGCAGCAAGAGGATGAGTCTGCAGGCAGTCTGTGTGCTCCACTCCACTGTCTCCACCTATGAGCAATCTTATTCTCTTGCTGCACCTGCCCGCCATTCATCCCACCCACGTGGCAGACTTTGATTGGTCGACAGACGACGACTACATGTGCTCGTCGTCGGCAGACAAGAGAGTGCGCGTGTGGGACGTGGGGTCGGGGTAGTGCCTGCGGATCATCCACCTACCCGGGACTTGAGTCGCCTCTTTCTCTTCTGTGTGATCCACTCCACTCCACCTATGACCAGTCTCATCTCTTGCTGCACCCGCCCGCCCATCCATCCCACCCACCCACCCGTGCACACATCCATCCACGTGGCAGACTTTGATTGGTCCACGGATGACGACTACCTGTGCTCGTCGTCGGCGGACAAGAGTGTGCGCGTGTGGGACGTGGGGTCGGGGCAGTGCCTGCGCATCATCTACACAGTCATTCCACAGACCTGCATCATCTTCCACCCGGTACGGAGGAATGCGCAGACTTGCATGCATGAGTTTGCACCCACCCAGTTATTACCCATACACGCAGGATGGACGGGACATGAATGTGGCAGTGCTCTCATGCATGAATGTGTCAGTGCTCTCATGCATGAATGTGTCAGTGCTCTCATGCATGAATGTGTCAGTGCTCTCATGCATGAATGTGTCAGTGCTCTCATGCATGAATGTGTCAGTGCTCTCATGCATGAATGTGTCAGTGCTCTCATGCATGAATGTGTCAGTGCTCTCATGCATGAACGTGGCAGTGCTCTCATGCATTTTGGGTCGAGGCAGTGCCTGTGCATCATCTACACGCTCATTTCCCAGGCCTGCATCATTTTCCACCTGGTAAGGACGGTTTATTCCCCAGACATGACTTACACAACACGTGCGGGGACATGCAGCGGTCTCACACATGTGGGGTCGCGGCAGTCCCTACGCATCATCTACACGCTCACTCCGCAAACCTGCATCATCTTCCACCCGGTAATGACTCATTAGGAGCTGACAGCAATGCGCTCAGCATGGGGCTAGTGGTGAACTGTGCCGCTCTCTCCTGCTCCCATCCCTCCCAATTTCCTCTCATCAACCCTCCTCCCTCGCTGGTAGCAGAACAACAACTTTCTGGTGGTAGCGAACAGCAAGAGGGAACTGACGGTAATGAACTTCAGCATGGGGCGAGTGGTCAGCCGCGTGCCTCTCTCCTGCTTCCATCCCCACCATCCCTGCCTTCCCTCTTCTCCCACTCCAACCCTTCCACTCACCAGCAAAACAATAACTTAACTTCCTGGTGGCGGTGAACAGCAAGCGAGAGCTGACGGTAATAAACTTCAGCATGGGGTGAGTGGTCAGCCGCGTGGCCATGGACAGCAACGTCCGTTCCCCCTGCCCCTTCCCACCTTCCCCACTTCCACCTCACTCCACTCCCTTCCCCCTCTCAGCAAAACAACAACTTCCTGGTGGTGGCGAACAGCAAGAGGGAGCTAACGGTGATGAACTTCAGCACGGGGCGAGTGGTGAGCCGCGTGGCCATGGACAGCAACGTCACTGCCCTCGTCGCTGATCGGACCACCATCGCCTCCTCTGCAGCAGCTGGTTCTGCCACCACCAGCGGCAGCAGCGGTGGAGGAGGCGGAGGAGGAGCGACGAGCAAGGCTGGAGCAGCGGCGGCGGCGGGAAGCGGTGGGTTTGGAGGGGGAGCAGGGGAGGCGGACAGTGTGGTGTTTGTGGGGGACAGTGAGGGCGCCATTCACAGCTTCACAGTGGACAAGCAGTCGGGCGCTCTGCTGCGCCGCCACAAGACCGTTGCTGGCGTCGTGCACCCGGCGCCAGTGGCTTCTCTGCACTACAGCCCGACATCCGTGCTGGCGAATGGGCCGGTGCTCCTGGCATGCAGCAAGGATGGCTGCGTGCGCTTCTACACGTGAGTATTGGTGGGGAGGTAGACGGTAGTGGGTTTGGTGGGGTTGCAAAGGAGGCGGACAGTGAGGGACAGTAAGGGACAGTGAGGGACAGTAAGGGACAGTGAGGGACAGTAAGGGACAGTGAGGGACAGTAAGGGACAGTGAGGGACAGTAAGGGACAGTGAGGGACAGTAAGGGACAGTGAGGGACAGTAAGGGACAGTGAGGGACAGTAAGGGACAGTGAGGGACAGTAAGGGACAGTGAGGGACAGTAAGGGACAGTGAGGGACAGTAAGGGACAGTGAGGGACAGTAAGGGACAGTGAGGGACAGTAAGGGACAGTGAGGGACAGTGAGGGACAGTAAGGGACAGTGAGGGACAGTGAGGGCGCCATTCACAGCTTCACGGTGGACAAGCAGTCGGGCGCTCTGCAGTGCCGCCACAAGACTGTACCCCCCTTAATGTGCCCGCACCCCCCTCCCTCCCCTCCCCACCCCTCTCCACCCTCTCCCCACCACCAGCACCGCTCTGGAGCTGAACGGCTATCTCTTCCTCAAACACTCCCTGCATGTCTCCTATTATCTCAACCTCTATGGCACTCTCTTTACCCACTCCATCCTTTCGTCTTCCTCACAACCCACCAGCACTGCACTGGAGCTCAACGGATATCTCTTCCTCAAGATATCGCTGCAGCTCTCCTCGCGGGCCACCAACATGAACGCTGCCTTCTGCCCCCCGCTTGGGCCCTCCGGGTCGGGGGAATACATCGGTGAGTTTGCAGTGGTAGTTGGAGAATGTTTTTGCAGTGGTAGTGAGTGGTGAGAATTGGTGGTTGATGCCGCCCTGCCCACTTGAGGTGCCTCAAAAGCCACCAACATGAATGCCGCCTTCTGCCCCCCACTTGGGCCCTCAGGGTCGGGGGAATACATCGGTGAGTCTGCAGTGGTAGTTGGAGAATGAGCTCGCAGTGTTAGCCAATGGTGAAAAGTGGTAGTCAATGCCCCCCTGCCCACTTTTGATGCGCCTTGAAAGCCACCAGAAGTGCAACATGAATGCCACCTGCTGCTCCCCCCTTGGAACCTCGGGGTCGGGGGAATAGATCGGTGAGTTTGGAGGCCATCCTATAGTGTTTTCCTACCAGCGCGCGCCTGTTGTCTATCCACCCCCCTTCCCACAATTCAACATATTCCTCCAGTATCGGACTTTCCGGCCTTCGTCCTGCTGTTCCCATGGCGTCGTTCTTATCACGCTGTTCCCATTCTACTCTTCCCATCCTGCCCCCACTGTTGCTGCTCTCATGCCACTGTCCCCATGCCATGCCTCCCATGCATGCAGTGACGGGCAACGCCGACCATCACGTGTACTTCTACGACTTCATGACACCTTCTTGCTTCTTGTGCCGCCTACGGGAATTCACTCATAGGGTTGTGCGACAGCTCCCAACCTCCCTTTCCTCCCATCGTTCCGCTGTCCCCTTCACACTCTTCCCATGCATGCAGTGACGGGCAACGCCGACCATCACGTGTACTTCTACGACTTCATGAAGCCTCGCAGTCCACTCGTGGCGCGCATTCCTGTGAGTGTGGGAATGAGTTTTAAATAACCTTAAAATGACTTCTATATTTTACTCGATGCCGACCACCACGTGTACTTCTACGACTTCATGAAGCCTCGCAGTCCTCTTGTGGCGCGCGTTCCGGTGAGTTATTGTTCCCCGTGTTCCTGCTGGTCAGTAATCCTCCTCACACACTCAGGGTCGGGCTTACACGAAACTGCAGCTGCATGCCTACAGTGTAGGCTCACGGCTTATGATGCTACAGCTCTGTGGTTGGTAATAAATTGCTTTTGAGGCGTCTCAAAACCGAATTGTAATCTCGCTGCTGATTCGGTAATGCTACAGGACTGCACCTGCCTGATGATGCTCACAGCTCCCGTTGTACCTTTCCCATCGCCTCCCCTCCCCTCCCCTCCCCTCCCGCCCCACTTCTACCTCACAGGGACACAAGGCGATGGTGGTGGATGTGAGTTGGAACAACAGCAACACTGTGCTTGCCTCCTGTGACTGCGATGGGGTGGTGGCACTGTGGCAGCGGGTTTAGCTCCTGATACCAGTGCGTGCATCAAGAGCAGAGCTCCCAATGGTGCGTGCTTCACTAGCACCTCTGGGAACAACAACAACACTGTACTCGCCGGTGGTGGCACTGTGGCAGCGCGTAAAAGAACTGATAGTGCGCCTCAAGAGCATAGATCCTCGTACCGTGAATGTTTGCCTCACTAGCACCTCTGGGAACAACGGCAACACTGTGCTTGCCTCCTGTGACTGATGGTGTGGTGGCACTGTGGCAGCGCGTTTAAGCGCTGACGATGTGCATGTTTGAGGCGCCTAAAGAATACGCCCAAAGCATTTATTTGGTCCGTGCATGCATGTGGAGCGCATCAAAGCAGGCAAGGCAACGCCTGTGCGTCGTGACTCGTTCCTTCCCTGTGATGATACTGGAGGTCGGCAGTGTTGGGCTGAAGTGCCCTAGGATCTTTGTAGAGTTGAAGTCTGAGTAGAATTGTAGTAGCGGAAGCGTTTGAATGAAAGTACTTGAACCACCTTGCGCTAGTATGTGAGGGCAAAGTAAGTTGATTAAACAAGCAAATACAAAAGTTTATATAAGAGTACAAGGAATACGAATAGATAAGTTAAAACCGTTTTACTGTTGCGATTCGATACAGTGCGACTCGGGCAACTGCTCAATGTCGAGTCAGTTGTGTGTCCTTGCTGTCGCGCTGTATTTGTCAAGTCAAAGGTCGCTGACCTTTGACCTTCTCGTAACCTCCAGGCGGTTACCCTAACCTCCGAGGGTTGACTCGCGATGCTTCGATTCGGACTGCTTCGCTAGTGTCCTGAGTTTCGACACGACAGAGGCGCTTAAGACTTATTATTCCCAACATGATTGACGGGGTTACTGCTCCACGCCGCCAGGCTGGACCCTGCCCCTGTATTATCGGATTCAGAATGCACCCCCGATACAAGTCTGAGGCACAGCCTACACTACTAAAAATAGTCAACAAACGACAGCGGCAGAGACAACATCGACAGCAGCAGAGACAACATCGGCAGCAGCAGAACCATCATCGGCAGCAGCAGAACCATCATCGAAAGCAGCAGGACCAATGACACCAGTCATCGAAACACCACCAACACCCGCACAACAGCTGAACCCGACTCAACGAGAAGTCACCGAAGCGCAAACATCGTCGCCAACTTCTACTCCAACTCTGACGCGTATCAACGCTCACCCGGACATCGCGCTCCTGAAGACATCTGGCACGCACGCACAGGACATCCAAGCAATACGGTGTTAAACAACACGATACGAGCAGGAGTTCTAGACAAGGATTCGCTACTACTACTCGACGGCAGAGAACTTCAACGTGCACGAGGGACTTGCCTCATCTGCCCCGAAGCCGACTTACCCCATCGACCGTTCTCCTCTCACCACAACCCGAGCGCACCTGCATACGCACCACTCGAGAAAGTTTACAGCGACATCCTCTACAATCGAGAACCAGGACAAGTCACCTACAATTACACGATCACCTTCATCGACGCCGCCACTCGATACGTCTGGCATCACAACCTACCCAGCCGCGACATGGCACTCGCAGCATTCGCCGCTTGGCTACCGGTAGCAGAGAGGGAATCAGGAACACAACTGAAAAGCTTCCAGTCAGACGGAGGAGGAGAGTACACCTCTCAGCGCTTCAAGCAGTACCTGGCGGAAAGAGGGATCAAGCAACTCCTCTCCCTTCCCTACGCACATCAGCAGCAAGGAGTAGCAGAAAGAATGAACAGGACTCTGCAGAACAGCATGCGCAAACTGCTACGTGGCATGCGGCTACCCAACCACCAGTGGCCTGCAGCAATGGAACATGCTGTCATGCTGCACGACTTGTTGTCGTCGTCGTCACTCCCGAACAACGCCTCACCGCATCTGCTGTGGACAGGGAAGCTGGGCAGCACAAAAATGTTACGAGTTTTCGGATGCATGGTACAGTACAGACCCCCAGAAGCACGAGCGGGAAGATTTTCACAACGGGCACAGTGGGGACTACACCTCGGCATTGAGAAACATTACAACGCGTGGAAAATCTTCGACGTCCACACAAAGGAAACAGTAGCAGCACGTGATGTGATCTTCTACGAGCGACTCACCCTTCAGACGTACCTCGCCAACTTGCACGAGAATCCGGACCTCACAGGTAGCTTTCGTGGTGACCGAGCCTTCGCCTCAGCAGCGGACGAAGCAGACTGGGATGAACAGAACGTCGACAACGCATCGGAAGAAGCCGGACCTCTCCCGTACTGCTCCGTCGACGTGCCCATGGACGAAGAAAATCCTCGCGACAGTAACAACGCCGAAGTCTTCTATCACTTCGCCGACAACGGTTACGTAACACCTGCGACAGTCAACACAAATGAAGCAGAAAGGATAGGGCCAAATTTCATACCCGATCCAGAAGCAGGAGACGAAGCAGCTTATCCAGAGGATACAACACTCCCCCGATACTCACAGACTGGGCTGCAAATCCTTGGTCTCGTCACCGCAGTCCACGGGAACACAGGCAGCACGCTTCCTAAAGAGCCTGCGACGGTTCAGCAGGCTCTGGGGGGGGAACACAGGGAGAAATGGCGTGAAGCCATGGACAGGGAATTAAAAGCATTAGAGGAACGCAACACCTGGAAGGTCGTTCCCGCAAGCGTGGCACGGAACAAGACCATTCTTACCGGGAAATGGGTCTTCCGCATCAAGATGAAAGCTGACGGCACAATCGAGAAGTTCAAAGCACGCTGGGTCGTGCGTGGATTCGACCAGGAGCAAGGACGAGACTTCACCGAAACATTCGCCCCAGTCAGTCGACATACCTCTCTCCGAATCCTTCTCGCCGTCGCCGCCATGAAGAAGAAGAAGCTGCGACAAATCGATGTTGCCAACGCATTCCTCTACGCACCCGTCGACGCCGAAATCTTCGTCGAACTCCCACACGGCACTCACGGAAATCCTAATCAGATCTGCCAACTACTGAAATTGCTCTACGGAATCAAACAAGCCCCGCGTCTGTGGCAACAGCACCTACACACCCACCTCACTCGCATCGGATTCCGCCAACTGCCTCACGACCAAGGAATGTACCGCCTCACCAAAGGCGCAGACTACATCCTACTGATCGTCTATGTCGACGACTTGCTCTACATCGGCTCCACCGACGACGTCACCACCTGGTTCGAAGGGGAGCTGCAGAAAGACCTCACGCTCACGGTCTCTTCTACCGTGACCCAGTACCTCGGGCTCAACATCCGCGAAGAAGAAAATGCGATCTACCTAAGCGCCGAGAAATACGCCAACACCATCGCCAAACGTTTTTCACTCACACCTACCGCCATCGCCACACCATACCGCTACACGGCAGGAAACGACAAGGGAAATTCCGCTCCACTCAAAGCTGCCGGAATACGAGACTACCAAAGGAAACTGGGCTGCCTTCTCTTCGCAGCTGTCACCTGTCGCCCGGATCTATCCTACTCCGCAAGCCAACTCGCCACCTATCTCAAGAAATCCGAAGCAAAGCATCTGGCGGAGCTCGATCGCGCACTACACTACTTCGTGAGCACACCGACGATCGGCCTGACTTACTACAAAGGCAAAGCTACGATGACGAAACTAATCGGCTACGTCGATGCTGACCATGCCGGCGATTCTGATAACAGGCGCTCTCGCACTGGCTACGTCTATCGTCTCGAGCCTATCGGACCTATCTCCTGGCAGTCGAGTAAGCAGGAACTAATCGCTCTCTCTTCAGCTGAAGCAGAATATATCGCCCTCTGTTCAGCCACCAAGGAATGACTCTACCTTCGCGAGCTGCTGGAAGAAGCAAAGTTAGCCGAGTTACCCAACTTCACCCTATTCTGCGACAACCAATCTGCAATTCGCATCGCCAACAAAAGCGGATTCGTGAACAGAACGAAGCATATCGCTCTGCGATACTTCTTCGTGAAGGACGAGATCGAGAAAAGGAAACTCGAATTATCCTACTGTCCCACGTCCGAGATGGCAGCCGATTATTTGACCAAGAAGCTCGGAAAACAGAAGTTCGAGTACTGCATGATGCTGACCGGACAAGGCCACGTCACCATCAGCGACACTCCAGAAGCGAAGGGGAGTGTTGGGAATAATAAGTCTTAAGCGCCTCTGTCGTGTCGAAACTCAGGACACTAGCGAAGCAGTCCGAATCGAAGCATCGCGAGTCAACCCTCGGAGGTTAGGGTAACCGCCTGGAGGTTACGAGAAGGTCAAAGGTCAGCGACCTTTGACTTGACAAATACAGCGCGACAGCAAGGACACACAACTGACTCGACATTGAGCAGTTGCCCGAGTCGCACTGTATCGAATCGCAACAGTAAAACGGTTTTAACTTATCTATTCGTATTCCTTGTACTCTTATATAAACTTTTGTATTTGCTTGTTTAATCAACTTACTTTGCCCTCACATACTAGCGCAAGGTGGTTCAAGTACTTTCATTCAAACGCTTCCGCTACTACAATTCTACTCAGACTTAAACTCTACAAAGATCCTAGGGCACTTCAGCCCAACAAATCACAGGCGGGAACCCACGATTTCGCCAGCGCGACAACGCACAGTTGCGTTGGTACAGCGTTGCTGTAATCCCACCCAATTCTGACCAACCGCGGCTGCGCCGCAGGCAGTGTTGGCAAGATTCCTTGCCAACACATAGCTCGCCACGCACTGCACCTTCGCTGTACACCACGACCATCCACCACACCCCGCCTTCAATGTTGCCAGCGCATAGCTCGCAGCGCGCTGCCACTCTCACATCACCACGTCCATCCACCCCACCCCACCTTCCCAGTTGCCAACGCAGGGCTCGCACCGCGTTGCTTCTCTCACGTGACTCCATCCATCAACCCCAATCACCCCACCTTCCAAGGATTCACGCCCAGGTGCAGTGCATGCAATGACCTTCTGGGAGATGGGAGGTCCTATTACACGAGGGTTTCTCATCTTCTTCTTGGTCACCGTTCTTGCAGTC